AAGTCATGAAAACTAATTATTTCTTTCAGTCCTATCTGCACTAGAGGAAGGTTTTACTTCCTTTTCTCTTCTAAATACAGTATTTATATATTTTCTTTTTCATTCTATAAAAACCCTAGGGGAAACAAATGGCCAATCTCCCCAGAGCAAGTCAAGAAAGTGCCATCTTTTAGAAGGGGCACGGTTAGGTTGTTGAACCCTGAACCCTGTTCTTCTTTCTAAAAGAACTGGGACATAGGTCTATTCTAGGGCTGGGGAGAGGAAAGGGGCCATTTTTGTCCCTGACTGCTGATACACAGGACTTTAAAATTTTATTTTGATATATTCTCCAAATGAGGTCTATGCGTATACATAAATACACAGCTAGGATGAAAATCATGCAACTTTAATTTTGTATCTATTTATCAGATGTTTGTACATGGCCATTATGCTTTAGTATGAATTATTTTTTTAATAGCCTGGGATTATCTCCTAAACAAAACAAATAGGTTGCATTGTATTTTTTGAATACGTTAAAAAGCATTTTTTAAGTATAAGCATTATATATATATGATTATCCTAAAACTTATATTGAAAGGCAAAGTAACTAGAATATTTAACACAGTTCTGAAAATAAATAAAAGTGGGAATAATTAGTCTACCCAAATTTAAGACTCACTATATAACTACATTCAGAGTCAAGGGGAGACACATAGATCTATGGAACAGAACAGAGAACCCAGAAACAGACCACACATGTGCAGACTGCTGATTCTTACAAAGGTGAAAAGCAATTCAATGAAATAAAGATGATCTTTTTAACAAATGATAGGGAAGTAATCAGATATTCATGTGTGCAAAAAAAATGAACCTTGGCTTAAACACTTTATACAAATATTAACTCAAAATGGATAATGGATTTAAATGTAAAATATAAAACCTTTAGGAGAAAATATTGAGGACCTAGAGCTTAGTGAAGAAATCTTAGACATGATATCAAAAGCACAATCCACATACACACAAAAAGCACCATTAAATTTCATTTTAAAAAACACACCTTTGCTCTGTGAATGACCCTGTTAATATAATGAAAAAGCAAGCTACAGATTGAGGAAAAAAAATATTTGAAATCCCTATATCTGACAAACGACTCATATCCAGTATACATAAAAAATTATAAACACTCAACAGTTGAAAAACAAACAATCCAATTAGAAAATGGCAGAAGACACAGAGACTTTTTACCAAACAGGATGTGCAGGAAGCAAATGAGCAAATGAAGAGGTCCATACCATGGATTGCTACTCAACAATAAACAAGGTCAGACTATTGATACAGGCACCAATGTGGGTGACTCTCCAGGGCATTATGCTATGTAACATATAACCATTGGAAGTGTTAACTAATAAAGGTCTGAGGACATAAAACACTTTAAAAGTTTATTTGGAATCTTAAAAGATTTGAATCCCTGAGACACAGATTCAGGTAGCAACCCAAGTTACCCTCAGAGAGACAAAAGCAGGCTTTGTAAAGACAAAAAACACCAATGGTAATTCGTTCCTGCAAATGAAGGATTGCTGGCTAGGTAACAGATTGATATAAACCAGGGGATAAAAAACACGAGGAGGTCAAGTGCATGTGTGTCCACAGAGCAGTGGTTGCTCCAGGTTTGTGAGTCAGCCTTGGGCTGAGTTTAGCAACAGGTTTAGCAATTTGGCAGCTCTGAGACTGAGGCATCAGATATGCCCAGGCCCCACTTCCTTAATAGCCTCCTGACTGTTTTATATAACGTGACTCTCTTAGCAATGCTTATTCCAATTTATTTTTTTCCATTCCTGAAGGATGCACAGGAACCTCTTGTATTATCTTTACAACTTTCTGTGAGTCTATAATTATTTCAGATGAAAAGATTTTTTGGTTAATATCATTGATTTGTTAACTATAAGCATTTAATATTTGCAATGTTTATAATCCCGTTTGGACATTCACATGCTTTTACTATGCTAAAGTTCTCTGAAGCTGGAAGTGGCTTGTGATGTCTGACCCTTGGGAGGTAAGAGAAGTAAACACACCACACTGCTCTAGCACCCTCATGGGATGCTAGGTTAAGAACATCTGAGAAGAATGCTGCCTCAGGTTTCCAAAACCTCGGGTGGGATCTGCAAACAGGGAGATGATAGGCAAGACTCTTCATTACCCACACCTGACCCCTCTTACACACACACACGCGCACCTATTTCAGTGGCAGCTTCTACCATGGCTTTCACAGTCCTCGGGGCCATTTTTGCATCTGCGTCATTAGTTGCCAATCTCTAATCTCTACAAATATCCTTGTTGGATCAGATTACCTAGATTACCTGCCTGGCCCACCTCTCAAGGAGCCTATCTGGGAAATGCTTCATAGGAGGTAAAACCAGTCCTGGTGATTTCCCCAACCAGGAGATATTCTTGTCGCATTTCCTGTTACATAACAGGTTTATAAAGAGCTAGAGGAAAGAGAGGAGACCACTGCTATGTTTTAACTGTTTTAACCCATCTTTCCCTCAATAACTCTACTTCCTCTTTGCCATCTTTCTTATTTTTCTTTATTCCAGAATTCCATCCTACATCCAAGAGGAAAATAGGACTAGGAATCTAGTTTTTAAGCAAGAACCCTTACTACCTCCATAAATTCATGTTTACACCTGGGTGTTATTTTGAGTTACAAATGGTCTGAAATGGGTGTAACTTCCTTCTTTATGTAGTATTTACTGCAAAATGATCTCTCTTGTGGTTAGAACATCTTGTTTTTATGTACATCTTGTTTTTATGTACATCTTGTTTTTATGTACTTCTGTTATTAGGATATTTCCCCAAATAATTACTAACTTTTTTTTCCGTGCAATTATTTCATCATCACAGTTATGGTAACCTTAGGTCAGGTCTTCTTCTTTTTTTCATAAAAAAGTAATCATAACATTGCATTTTCTTAGGTTGATTAGCAAGCAGAACTGTGACAAAGGCTTGTGTACAGTTTATTAGGGAAGTGATTTCAGGGAGCAGGCGTGAGGGGCAAAGGGCACAAAGCAGAGAAGGTGGGAAAGACAGGAAGAAGACGTTACCTTGGCCATTGCTACAGACCAGTGATGCTCTGATCCAGTGGGACTTTCTGGGGAGCCTTATGAAATTTGTCAGAACTGTGTGCCAGAGGATGAAAGGGAAGTACTTATCTATGGAGTCCTGGCCCATGGGGGCCCCATGGGTTGTACATGTCTGAGTTCTACCCAGGCAGAGGTATCAGAGGGACCCCAGGACAAGAATCAAGAGATATAAGATGTGGGACCCCAATGTGAGCCTCTGTTAGGCACTAGGTGCTGAGCAGTACTCAGGTACTGCCCAAGGTCTGGAGCTAGAACCGGAAAGATATGATGTGGAGTTCAAGATGTAGCCAACACGATTATCAACCTCAGAGCTTCTATAACTTGATAGGAGTTATGACCAATGGAATAACTATAGTTCCTTCTATTAAGTCAGCCAGTGATATTTAGTATCTCCTTACTGGTTTTGCACTTTCAATTTGCCCAGTGATGTCTCTGAAGGTTGAAGAGTGAAAATTAATTGTAATGGTTGGAGTAACAGCCCAAGTACATTACATTGGGTTGCCAGGTTGCATTTTAAGAGAGAAATATTAAAATAAAATGTGAAAGAATTGTAAATGAGAGAAATTTGCACTTGAGCTATTTTTACATCTATGTTTTCATAAATCTGTATGTTCTAAAGCCATTTCATGTGAGATTTTATTTATAAGAGAGTTCAGCAGAAGCTTCTTAAGAATTATGGAATGCTGTTTCAGATAAATTGTATGCATTTCCAATAAACACATTTATAGAAGCATAAAATTAAACCTTAATTTACATAATTTATATAAAAGTCATATTAATTAGATAATTAATATATTGATTCATTAAATAATTAATGTTTATTAAGTAATCTATTAGTAATAAATTTACTATGTCTCAAAAATGGTTTTAAGATATGCATCTTAAAATGAATGCATCTGACCTTTCCAATGTCTCCAAGGTAGGTACATACTACCAATTTCTCATTTTAAAGATGATGACACTGGGACACAAAGAGTTTGAGGAGCTTACCCAACCAAAGTTTAGTCAAAGGTGGAATAAAAAATATAGGACTGTGTAGTCCACATCTTCATTTTTTTTTAAAGTTTACGGCAGGTTATAATAAATGAATGTGGTTGCCAAATTGTTCACAATAAAGTCCAGAATCACTCTCTCTTTGCAATGATTAAGATGATCCAAGTGAGAATATGTCAATAAAGATATCATCCATCTCATTACAGGACACCAGCAACTTGATCAAATCTGTATTTTGTTTGCAAATTTTAATCCCAATATAAGAGATAGAAAAATAATATATTAGGATAAACAAATAGAGTAATGAGGGGATAGCCAGGCACACTAGAACTTTTGGAACTCTAACTGTGCAATAAATATAATATCATTGCAAAACACATGCACAGTTTAAAACATCCACCAGTAAGTGTCTTGGTTTTTTATTGCATCTCTTTATCCAACAGAAGTTTTTCATCAATGATTTTGTTAAATAAGACATATGAGAACATATATATGATAATTTTTAAAAATATATACATATATTTTTATTGATTTCAGAGAGGAAAGGAGAATGAGAGAGAAAGAGACAGAAACATCAATGATGAGAGAGAATCATTGATTGGCTGCCTTCTGCATGCCCCACACTGGGGCTCGAACCCACAACCCAGGCAAGTGCCCCAACCGGGAATCGAACCATGACCTCCTGGTTCCTAGGTCGACACTCAACCACTGAGCCAAGCCGGCTGGGCTATATATGACAATTTTTTACTCCTTCAAAATTTTGTGAGGAATTCATTAGAAGCTTAGAATAACATCAGTCAACCACTGTTTCCTGGAGATAATTCTCATTAATTTTTCCATGCCCAGAGCATTCATATTTTGTTGGGTATTTGTTCTATTATCTTTCAGTCATGGAGAAAACGTCTACAGATACACTTCCTCTTACTATGATTCCTCCAGAAGAGCAAGAGACTGTATGTATTTTTGGAACTGGAGATTTTGGAAGATCACTGGGACTTAAAATGATCCAGTGTGGTTATTCGATTGTCTTTGGAAGTCGAAACCCCAGGACATTCAGCCTGCTGCCCAGTGGTGCAGAGGTCTTGAGCTATTCAGAAGCGGCCCAGAAATCTGACATCATAATCATAGCAATCCACAGGGATCATTACGATCTTCTCACAGCACTAACTGAGGTTCTCCGTGGGAAAATATTGGTCGATGTCAGCAACAACCTCAAAATGCATCAGTACCCAGAATCTAATGCAGAGTACCTTGCTCAGCTGGTGCCAGGAGCCCACATAGTGAAAGCATTTAACACCATCTCAGCCTGGGCTCTCCAGTCAGGAGCACTGGACGCAAGTCGGCAGGTAAGATCAAATGATGAATTTACTTTACACTCAATTTCGTATGTGCACTTACCTCAAAATAGAATACCTACTGAATACTTCATTCTACTAATATATGACATGAACTGCTTTCTCAGGATGGAGCAAGTTAGGGGAGTTCATTGTGATTCATTTCCCACTACAAAGCTTTTGATTTGATAGAACCCAGTGATGTCAGTCTCCAGAGGTCTCATGTTAGTACTAGAAAATAATACACCTAAAATCGTTGATTGATATCCTTTGCACTCCCATTACCTTGTATGAAACTACTTCCATTTATTCACTGAGATTAGCAGGAATCCATAAATGATGTGGCACCCATGAATACAGAAGAAACATCAAACTGTTCACACTGTGGAAAATAAAGTCTTGTCCTATCAGTGTGATATGCCTGAAATCACCCTCAACTTGAAACCCTGGTACTCAACTCTCCGACCCACATGTACAAGTTCAAAACTTCATCTTATTAAATATGTTGATTCAGCACCCTTGTTTGAAAAGCAGTTCACTACTACATGTCCTGTTCTAAGCAGTACTCTTATAGACTTTCAAAAATAATTATTAAAGAAAGAATAAATACCAAAATAATTATTTTTCACCCAGGCATTCATCTGCGGAAATGACAGCAAAGCCAAGCAAAGAGTGATGGACATAGTTCGCGCTCTTGGGCTGACTCCGTTGGATCAAGGATCTCTCTTGGCAGCCAATGAAATTGAAAACTACCCCCTGCAACTGTTTCCAATGTGGAAGTTCCCCTTGTACTTCTCTGCTATCCTGTGTGTCTTCTTGTTTGTCTACTGTGTTATCAGAGACGTAATCTACCCTTATGTGAATGAGAAGAAAGATCACACATTTCGCATGGCTGTTTCCATCCCAAATCGTGTCTTTCCAATAGCGGCCCTGACACTGCTCGGGGTGGTTTACCTCCCCGGTATCATTGCTGCCATTCTGCAGCTGTACCGAGGTACGAAATACCGGCGGTTCCCAGGCTGGCTTGACCACTGGATGCTTTGCAGAAAGCAGCTTGGCTTGATAGCACTGGGATTTGCCTTCCTTCACGCCATCTACACACTTGTGATTCCTATTCGTTACTATGTACGATGGAGGCTGGAAAACTCAACCATCACCCGGGTAAATCTCTACTCATTTGTGCTCTCCTATTGCTTTAATCAAAGAGGAATCTTGCTACATGATATTCCATTGTACAGTTATAGAAAATCAGTCTTCTAAGCATATTTATTTTTTAAAGTAACTAGAATTAGACACCTGCTGTCTGTTTTTTGTTTTTGAGTGGATCCAGTTGACATCTCATATAACCATTGAGAAGGCAAGTTAGATTTCCAGGTTCCTGGAGTCCAGATCTGTATTCCCAGGATTGACTGGGATCCTGAAAAACCGACAGATTTGAGGGCTCAGGAAACCTAAATGACACCTCCTTGAATTCCTTTGGGGTACATTCAGTAAATGTAAAGCAATGCATTTTCAAGCTTCTGTTTTTATGCATGCCACCTCTTTTGGGAAGTCAAAAATAACCATCTTAAAAGGAAGGGGCCATTTGGACTTGTGGCACAAGAATGTAAACAAATTTCCAAAAGAGTGCTTATAACTCCATTAATGTTTTGACTTCCTTAATTGTTTAGTTTACTAAGCAAGTGGCAAATAATACTATTTTCTGCATAGCCAAAAAAATTCAAAGAGAATCAGCTCAGGGAGTCTAAAAGCAGTCCCAGAGGAAGTGCTACATATCAGCTCCAGTTAGGAAATCATTAGTTTCGACCAATCTTTAGTCTCATAGTTCATTAGTCAATAACTCATTGATGTTGCTTCTGTGGGTTTCTCAACATTATTTCCCTAACAAATACAGGTGAGGTTCTTGGGGAAGAATCACATTAAAGTAGCCTGATTTCTCTCAATTTGTAGTGGGACAGACTTGATGCTGGATTACAATATAATAGACATGAAAGAACCCACACGTTCTGTGTGTGAATGATCAGTATATCAAACAGAAAAACAGAATCTTGCTGTAATTATTTGAGAACATCCAGTTTTGCTTAGGAAACAAGAAACTATATGGTAGAGAAGGTTTAAGTAAATGTTGACTTTGTTTTAGTATGTATAGGGTCAATTACAACTCCTGGAGTCAACTATTATAATGAAGTCCCAGCAGAACCAATTACTTTTTCTATCACAAAAATAATTCTAAGTGTGTTTTTCTCTACAATTATTTTCAAATGACTATTAAGAAATGTCATCTAATTTGCCTTGAGTAAATAAGCCATGCAGAGGTGTTTTCAGTCCCCTTGAAAGTTTGGGCAGTTTATAAAAACATGTAATTTTTTAAAAATGCTTGTAATTTTTCTTAGGCAATATCCAAGAAAGAAAATCCATTTAGTACCACTAATGCCTGGCTTAGTGATTTATATCTGTCTTTCGGAATCCTTGGATTTTTCTTCTTCATCCTCTTGGGGATCACTTCCTTGCCATCAGTTACCAACGTGGTCAACTGGAGAGAGTTCCGATTTGTCCAGGTAAAGACCTCCAGATTTAATCTGCTTTCATTGCAAAATGTGTCTGGCTTTACAAATATTCTCGTTTTTCTCTCACACCATGCATAAATTTTCCTTTTGCTCTGTCACTTCCCTAGCAATCTCCTAAAAATAGTAACTGAAACAAGTTCAAATTAGAAAATGCTAAACTCTGGCACCAAAAGGCAGATCTATAATGGTTTGATTCCTAGCAGGGCATCCCTTGCCAAGATTCCTGACTCCTCCCAGAGCCACAGCTACAAGTATAGCGTGAAAAACACCAACAACTATTATACTTTGTGGCAATGGACTTGGTGCAAGGTAAAGAGAAACTCAAAGACAACATTTCTCCTTCTGAAAATCAACCTTAGATTAGGATCCCATTCATATACAAAGCAACATATTGAAATAAAGTTTAAAACCTTAGAAACAAATCATGCTAGATTGTCATCATACCAGACTCAATGCTGGCCTATAACAGGAAAAATCTGTTTTTTCCACATATCAACCACCAGACACCTCATTAAAGGGGATTTTTAATTATTCTTATAAACCAGTGGTCCCCAAAGTGTGGTACCTGCATCCAGCAGCAGCAGCAGGATCGCCTGGGATCTTGTTAGATACACAAATCCCCAGGCCCTCCCAGACCTAATGGATCAGAAACTGGACGTGTGACCCAGCAGTTTGTTTTAACAAGCCCTCCAGATTATTCTGATGCATGTTCATTGTGAACCAGTGTAATGGAATAGACCAGTGGTTCTCAACCTGTGGGTCGCGACCCCTTTGGTGTTCGAACGACCCTTTCACAGGGGTCGCCTAAGACCATCCTGCATATCAGATATTTACATTACGATTCATAACAGTAGCAACATTACAGTTATGAAGTAGCAACGAAAATAATTTTATGGTTGGGTCACAACATGAGGAACTGTATTTAAAGGGCCAGAAGGTTGAGAACCACTGGAATAGACCATTCGTAATTGATTTTAGGTTTGAATTGTATAGAACTATTCAAATTTCAAAAGTCTGTTTTACTAGTATCCAGGGACCAAATGCAGTCAACATTTTCTCATGTTGCGCCTATATTCAAGACATGAAGATAAAAATGAACGTTGAGCTTTAGTATATAGGCCAAAACAGATAAAAGTGAAGTTTGCTAATTGCTCTTGATTGTGACAGAAATTAGCTAGTATGTGCTTTTAGTCAGTAACATATACTGATGTCGTACTTCTTGAGGACATACTGTTGTCTTGTTCATCTCTGAACTCCAGAAACAGTGACCAAGGGAAAAGGTTAGCATGGAGGAAGAAGGCAAGGCACCTTGTTCATTCTAACTCAAAAGAGTTTACTCCTGGGCAACTTTCCCATCCAGCCAGGTTAAGATGAACCACCATGTCATTTGTAAGCACAACCTTTTTTTTCAAATGAAATATTTATCATCCTGAAGGAGGGTTATTGCTTTCTTCAGAATGTTCTAAATATGAAAGGTTTCAAAGGTTTGTGGTTGTTGACAATATTCTTCATTGGCTTCCAGTGTTTTGCTTTAAAATGCAAATAGTGTTAATGTACATATTTTTGTTTCTTGCTTTTATAGTCCAAACTGGGTTATTTGACCCTGATCTTGTGCACAGCTCACACCCTGATATATGGCAGAAAGAGATTCCTCAGTCCTTCCAGTCTCCGGTGGTATCTTCCTTCAGCTTACATACTAGCACTCATCATTCCTTGCACCGTGCTGGTGATCAAGTTTATCCTCATCCTGCCATGTGTAGACAAGCCCCTCACACGGATCCGCCAGGGTTGGGAAAGGAACTCAAAATGCTCTAAATCAGCAGTGAATGGACAAACAGATATTTAAAGCAACGTTCAATGCACCCAGAGTTCTGAACTGTATGTTTCGAGATGAATAATGGGCTCAGTCAAGAATGCATTTTTCTCCCACCATGGCCTGAAGTTTGTGAACAGCAAAGGAAAAGTTGCCTGACTTTAAGAAATTGAGAGATTGGAAGAGAACAACATTTTACCTCTGGTTAGTGATGAATTGATGTAGGTCCTGCCTCTCCTAGAGGCAGTCGGGCTGACATCCAGATTAGCTTTGTGGCTTCACACTCAGAAGCTTCTGGTGTGGACACCATGCAGAACCTAATTAACGTCTTGCAAACTCCAGAGGAAGTACATGCACTTTCCTTCTCTGGTTCAAGGGCTGAGTGGAGTGAGAGAAGACAGTAAAACGGTGGTCACTGATAAAGGCTTTCTTTGGTACATCTGAAGAAGAGGACCAAATGAAGTAAAAGGAATGAGTTTGTGTTTTTTTTGTTTTTTGGACATGAAGGTGATTATAAATATTGCCATAGTGAATTCTGTAGTTAAATGTACTCTTTGATTTTGCTTTTACCAATGTGATTGTGTACAGTGGGAAACTATTTTGTAACACAACAAAAATACCACAATTGATTGGAAGTATGGGTCAGATATATGCAAATATATACAGTTGTCCAAAGATCCCTCCTCTACAAGGAATAGGTGTAAGAAAGATTGAGTTAAAATTGAAGGATACCACTAGGATTTTCTCCATGTATAATGAGCAAGGATGGGTTGATAAAAACCCTTGCACAAAAAGTTTAAATAAACCAGAATTTTAGATAGCAAGCTAAATAAATATTGTAAAGTTGCACTAGATTAGGTTTTGTTTTGTTTAAGTATTGTGGTATGCTTTGTATATAATATATTCCAAATATTATTCATTACTAATTATCTATGAAATGAATTTCTAATATAAAAATGTAGCTTCTATAGTTTGTCATATTTTGAGCAGTGAAATTAAGTGAATAATGCAAGTGAAAGTGTGACAGATGCACAGATGAGAGAATTATGGAAAGTCTTAGGGCAGAAAGGTGTGAGCAGTAGTTGTTACATGAGACTTGGTTCTTAGATCCTCACTGGAATGCAGGATGATTCCGTCAAGGGCAGTGAGAACAACACCAGGTGTTAGACCAGTGGGGTCAGACCGGACCTGGGTTCAGCAACCTCAGTATCTGAGTTTTGGCTAGGAAAGAATTCAGAGCCAAGCCCCAAACTATAAGAGAGTATCCTCCTATATAATAAAAGGCTAATATGCAAATCAACCAAATGGTAGAACGACCTGTCACTATGATGTGTACTGACCACCAGGGGGAAATGCTCAATGCAGGAGCTGCCCCCTGGTGGTCAGTGCATTCCCATAGGGGGAGCGCTGCTCAGCCAGAAGCCCTGAGCCAGGCTCATGGCTGGCGAGCACAGTGGCGGTGGCAGGAGCCTCTCCTGCCTCCGCAGCAGTGCTAAGCATGTCCCACCAGGGAGCAGGCCTAAGCCATCAGTTGGACATCCCCTGAGGGGTCCTGGACTGTGAGAGGGCGCAGGCTGGGCTGAGGGACCCCCTGAGTGCATGAATGTCCAGCACCTGGCCTCTAGTTTATTTAGGAAATCACGGAGATAGCAGAAATAATTCGTAGAAGAAATGGGCTTAGGAAACAAGTGATAGAGGCAAGGGAAGGGCCCCTGAAGCTTAGAAGTGAGAAAGGTGAAGTTGATAGCACCTGAGGGGGAGAAGAGAAGGAGGGGAAACATGGGGGTGCTCTGGGAAGGGGGAGGGAGAGCACCCTGGGTCCTTGCCCAAAGGGTTGTAAGGGTAGAGATGTTAGGGGAGGCCCCAGGGAAAGATCTCAATAAAAAATTCAGCAGTTTTCCACGTGTGTCCTTTCAGGCTCTAGGTCTCCACTGATTGATTGGTCAATGCCAGGGCAGGGGGTCATTAACCAATGCAGCTGGTCCTGAGGTCAGCCATGGGGCTGCTTGTCTGATTTTGCTGCATTTTTGTACCTACTCCTGAGATATAGCTGAGACCTAGATGTTATCTCTAGGGAGGAAAGGTTGAGGGTCCAAACTGCAGGACCAGTGATATGCCAGGGGAGGAAAGGTCACCATCGGGGCTTCCCCCCAGGTGACCTCCAGGACCTGGCCCATCGTCCTTGCTCTGCTCATGTCTGTCTAACTGCCTACAATTCTCTCTGTTTTCTGTGCTGACAGTTCCACTTCAAGGTGACCTTCACCAGGATTAGCCTTCCTGGCTCATACATGAAGCTAAAAAGAGCCTTAGGCACAATCTTCCCACATATGGAAATTACCAAAAGGCTTTGGCTTTGACATTTTTCACCTGCTCTATCACGGCCATTTGTTTTTCTCTTTTTTCACATGCTTAGAGAGAGGAGAGAGAAAGGGGGAGAGAGAAGCATGGATCAGTTGCCTTCTGTACCTGCCTCCAAGGGGGATTGAACCGAAACCCAGGCAAGTGCCCTGACCAGGAATTGAACTGGCAAATTTTGATGCACAGGATGGTGCTCAGCCAACTGAGCCACGCTGGCCAGACTCTTTTTTAACTTTTATTATCATATATTCTACATGACAACATACAAAACAATTAAAATGTATTAAAACATCACCCATAATCCAGGATATTTTTTTTATAAAACTTTTTAAAAAATAGTTCTATTTATACTGCATACTCAACTTTACATCCTTTTTCACTTAATGTATTAGTGGCTTTCTTCTCTTAGGTACATGGTATATGTATTTAACTTATAGCTGCATAATATTATATCAAGTCAACATTTATTAACCACTGCTCTAATTAAGAATGTAAGGTTATATTCATTCTTTACTAAAACAAATGACATTTCAGAGACTTATAACTTTTTTCCATATTTCAAATTATTTCTTCAGAATACTTGCCAAGAATTGGGATTACAAAACTTTAAGAACTTTTAAAAGCATTTGATATATATTGCCAAATTATTTCTAAAGTGACCTTGACAGGAACATTGGTATTGGATAGGGGTGTTGGTTTCATCATTCCTTCATAGGTTTTGCATTTTATCTCAGTTTGTGTTCACTGAGAAGATACACAGAGCATATGATCCATTAATTTATCCTTGATCCACCCAGCAAGGATACAAAAAGCCAGAAGACTTTGAGCAGAGCTGTGTGTGAGGTGTCAACCTGAGAGCATCGATGGGAAAATGTCACTACTCATCCCCTCTATTTATGCCAAACAGCCAAGTGTTGGAGGGTTGTAGCCTGGCCTTTGGCTAGAGAATTGGTGGAGGACTATTCTAGGCTGATACCATGCTCCTTTTTAGTAACAGAGTAATATGTTTTTACTGGGTCACAGTTCATCACTAAAAATAGGAAATACCATAACTAGGTAACAAAGCTTTCCTGGAGTAAAGTAGACTCCACTTTTATAACCTAGTAGAAATGCTCTATCCAGGAACTAATAAAAGCTTTCCATGAAATGGGAGGGTTGGGGGAGGGGAAGGAAACATAAGTAACACTTTCAACAATAAAGAATTTAATTTAAAAAAAAAAAAAGCTTTCCATGAAGCTAGAAGTTAAAGAGCGCCCCCTAGTGGTTTTGACAACTAGGTTGCCAGGTCTCAACCGCACAGATTCCAAACCACACCAGCTGTCCAGAAAAGCCAATTTCCTTTTCTTCCCTCCCAAAACCCTCCCTCCACAAACCATCAAACCAATTTGACCATACTAACACAGCCAAATAAATGAGTTTGGAATAGATGGAAATAGTGAACTGTATTCCTTTTAACAGATCCAAACTGTTCTATAGCAAAAAGTTAGACTACATTTCTTCACTACTGGTATGTTTCCTGTATTCTAGTAAAATTTTTCTTAAGCTCATAGACCTTTTATTTTTGTATGTTTCCCTGACTGCACTTGTAAATGTGTACTCATTAAACATTATTTTAAAAATATTTTTACGCTTTGTTTAATTTTGGTTTTAACTTATTAGCATTGCAAAGAAAGTGATGAAAAGATTTTGAATCACAGAAGTTTCAGCATCAAGAACTAAAAATACCTCCCTTCAGAAATAAGGAAAAAGAAAGGCTGTTACACGGGTTTTAGAGCACATTAGCGGATTTGCAGCCTCATGAAATGTATGCTTGAGCTCAGTGGGGAGATGCATTCTGATATTCCACACGTTTCAGTTTCACCTTCAGAGAGGGGAGCATCTGCCGGCCTAACTGATGGGTATGAATACACCACCCACACTGGACTTTCCTTCTCCCAGATGGATTCCGCCAGATAGGGCTGATAACTTGATGGGGGGACTGAGTTCAGCTTGGATTGCAGTCTGTGGGACCAGACATTAAACTCCCTGCACAACTGGACAGCTGCAGCCCTAATGGGTTATCATTCTTTCAAAAGCAAAATAAAAATTGACAGAAAGAGCTGTGATAAGGGTTAACTAGCTAGCTTAGGATAGGAATGAAGGGGTCTAGAGAGGACAGAGTCATCTTGTCCTGAACAGTTAAAACAGCCAAAAACCAAGGACAGGTATCTCTGGCCTGAGCAGCTGGGAAAGCCATAGGGGTAATAAATCTCTGGCCAAGAGGGGAAAAAAAAAAAAGGCCACTTTACTCTTGAGCAGGGAAGCCAGTGGTTTCAGTCTCAAGGCTGGGCAGGATAAGGTTGCTAGGTACCATAAGATCGATCAAAAGTAACTCCAACTTGAACAGATAAGATGGATATGTGAAGGACAAAGAAAAGACAGAATTTCTGGAAAACGGAAATATGTTTTCACAGAGTTTAGAGGAATGTTGCAAAATAAGGGGAAAGAAAGAGGGGGGCACTCTTTGGGCTTTGGCCTTTGCAGAGTTACCAATGAGGAAAACAAGGGGTCCTAAGTTGGGGAAGGGTCCAATTAGAGAGTCATGAAGAGACAAAGAACTACAGCCTTTATAACCCTGGGCTTTGGCCTTTGCAGAGTTACCAATGAGGAAAAAACAGGGGTCCTAAGTTGGGGAAGGGTCCAATTAGAAAGAGTCATGAAGAGACAAAGAACTACAGCCTTTATAATGCCTCAAGACAAAGAGGTGTGGCCACCCTCTTTAGGAGAGACATAATCTTAGAATTAGAAGCTTATAATTAGGAGTTTTAGGTACTTCTCACCTACCACCTTAGTCTGTGGCTTCATTCTTCGAGTCCATCTGAACAAGAACCTGGGAAAGAAATCACCCTTGTGCCCTGCTCAATAAACACACACACACACACGAATCGCTGTCAACCTAGAGCAGTGATGGCGAACCTCTGACACGCGAACTCATTTTTTTGGTTGATTTTTCTTTGTTAAATGGCATTTAAATGTAAATTTAAAGTAAATATCAAAAATATAAGTCTTTGTTTTACTATGGTTGCAAATATCAAAAAATTTCTATATGTGACACGGCACCAGAGTTAAGTTAGGGTTTTTCAAAATGCTGACACGCTGAGCTCAAAAGGTTCGCCATCACTGACCTAGAGTAAGCTAGAAGCAAATAGAGAAGCACCTACTCAAAAGCTACTTCAATTAGAAATTATAAGTGTTTATTGTCCAGGGATCACAGAAGAGCCATGATTCTGATGAACCTATGTCATGAATTTTGCCTCCAGGAGCTCAGAAGATTCTGGACCTCCTCCCCAAACCGAGGTGGAATGGCAGTCAAGGTGCCGCACACAGAGCTCACAATTTTCGTTCTGCATCTCCACAACCACCACCCATACCACCACCTAATACTCACACACCAAACATATTCTAATGTGATCTGCTCTGATTTTGTACAATGAGTTAGGGTTACAATACAGAAAAACCGTCTGCTCCTCTAAAGATTTGTTCAGTGGTATTTAAAAAGATAATAAGTTGCTCTCTTAAGCATTACCTTTCCTGGAGCTCAAGGCAAAGACCTGAACAGTCAGATAAGAGG